TTAGGGTTAGGGGTTAAGGTTATGATTTAGGGTTCGGGGTTTAGGTTAGTATTTAGGGTTTTGGTTATTATTGCTTTAGGGTTACAATTAGGGTTAGGATTTAGGGTTAGGGGTTAAGGTTAGAAATTAGAGTTATGGTTGTTATTTAGGGTTAGGGTTTGGGGTTTAGTTTTAGCATTTAGGGTTGGGGTCATGGTTAGGATTGAGGGTTCTGGTTATTATTTAGGGTTACATTTTACGGTTTAGGGTTTAGTTTTAGGATTTAGGGTTAGGGATAGAGCTGGGACTGTAGCACCTTCTTCATTGTCCCTTGCAGCACTAGGGATGTTCATCTTGCAGGGACAGCTCTTCCCGTTGTGGGGACAACTCTTCCTCTTGTCGGGATGGCTATTCCCCTTGTAGGGCCAACTTTTCCCTTGTACGGACACCTCTTCCCATGTAGGGACATCCTTTAACTCTGTAGGAACAGCTCTTCCCCTTTATGCAACACCTCTTCCCTTTTAGGTGCAGCTTTTCCCTTTGCTGGGACAGCTCTTCCCTTGTAGGGACAACCTTTTCCCCTTTTAGGAKCAGTTCTTCCCCTTGTAGGGGCAGCTCTTTGCTCTTAGGGGCAGTTTTCCCTCTTTTTTGGGGACAGCTCTTCCCTCCAGGCTGGGACAGGAGGGTGACTTGGAGCACTTGGGGTGTTCCCACAGCTCCTAACCCGGTGTTTCCCCCACCATGGCTGGGATTGGATGCTCTTTAAGATCYTTTCCAYCCCAAATCTCCYGTGATTCCACGGAAAWCCCGCTGATCCCTCGTAGGGARGCYGYRATGGGGTTTTGGGGTGTCCAWCCCCCCTCTCCTGCTGCCCCAAAKCTGTCCCTGCATCCCATCYCCTTTCCTGACCATGRCYTGGGGTTCCTCTGGGGATCCTCAYCTTCAGYAGCCACAGGCACAGCTCTGGGGGTCTCATTTGCCACTTCCTGAGGGATTTGGGGTTTTCTGGAGCTGCTGTGGGTGGGAAGATTGTGGGGTTGGGATTCTGTGGGGTCCCTGCCCTGTCCTCCCAACAAATCAAACAGATTCTATTCCTATTCGACTCCAGCTCTTTGCTGAGGCCTCTTCCCACCTTGTCTGGCTGTTTTTGGGGTCTCAGAAGCTGAGCCACACCTGAACACAATCCCCTCAACCCTAAAAAATCCCGATTTTCCTCACCCCCCTCTCTCCCAGCGGAGCATTTTAATCTTCCTCCAGCAGGTTTCACCACCTCACTCACCGCACAACGAGGCAGAGTGGGATTTGTGGGGGCACAGGGGGTCACCCCAACACGCTGGCACCTCTGGGTGGGGTTCACCATGCATGTGGGGTGCTGCCAACCCAACCCCACCCCRAATCTGACCCCAAACCGCCGCCTCGGCGTCTCTTGCAGCCGCGTGAGAAGGGGAGGATGCGCTTCCACCGCCTGCAGAACGTGCAGATCGCCCTGGATTTCCTGAAGCAGCGACAGGTGAGGGCTGATGAAAGCTCATTTTGCACAAATCGGGTGCTTTGTGGTTTTTTTTTTTTTTCTCTCTCTCGTCTGAGGCGCTGGAAGGAGCTGGGAGGTGTCTTTAGGGTGTGCCAGTCCCCGCTGTGCCAGCGAGGGTGGCTCTTTGGGGGCTTTTCTAGTGTGTTTTGCCCCTAAAAACCAGCCCTGCACGCAGAAATTGCACCCAGAATTGTCAGGAAGGGGATGAGGGGTTGGCAAATATCAGTTTTGCACCCCAAAAGCCTCTGGAATCTGGGGCAGATCCCGGCAGCGACACAGCCGTGCCTTCCCACCAACTTTTGGGGACAAGTGACGGCTGGTTCTGAGCTGGGGGTGGCACTGGGGTTGTGCCACCCCTCTGGGTGTCTCCTGGGCTCATTCCTCTCCGTTTTTGGGATACAGGCTCCGTGCCCTGGGTTCTCAGGAGCCGCTGGGTGCAGCTGGCAGAGCAGATCCCAATGCACCCCAAATTTGCAGAGGGAGGTCCTGTTCTGCCTGTCGGGCCAGGTCTCCCCATTGAGCTGCTCCCAGATCTGCCCAGGGGTGATGAAGATGATGATGATGATGATGATGATGATGATGATGGTGATGATGATGATGATAAATGGTTCCAGTTCGTGCTGGAGCAGAGCCTTCTCTCCCTCGCTGCTGTCCTGAGGGCCCTGAATAAATTCGAGCACATTCCTTACTCCAGGGAGGGCGAGCTGCCTCCTCCTCCTCCTCCTCCTCCTTCTCCTCCTCCTCCCCAGCTCCTTGATAGAGACATTTCGCCCAGGGCTTTTGGGAACTCGTTTCTCCACTTGGATGAAGCAGCTTTTTTTTTTTTTTTTCCCCTTTGAAGTGTGACTGCCTCGCTGGGATATCTCACCCCTGCTGGGGAACGATCTGTGGGGTCATGGGGAGAAGAGTGAAGGGTTCCTGCCTTCTTTAGGGATTAGTGAATGGTTCCTGCCTTCTTTAGGGCTGGTTGATGAGGTTTTGGTCCCAAATCCAGGCTGCAGTTTAAGCTTGGTCATCCCCTTTTCCCTGCTCTCTGTTTAATTATTCACTGTCCACTCTGGGGCCGCTGTTCCACCAGCYGAACTAAAGCCTTTAAGTGCTGGGAAAGCATTTCTGGATGGAGAGTGCTGGAAACRTGGAAAAATCCTCCCCTGAGCCAGGAGATGCCTCCTCTGTGTGCCTGGAGTGGCCCTGGACGTGTCCCCCTGGACGTGTCCCCTCCTCACGTCCCCCTCCTCGTGTCCCCCTGCTCCCCGGGCGATGCTTTGACCCCATTTTCTCATTTTTCAGGTGAAACTGGTGAATATCCGCAACGATGACATCACGGATGGCAACCCCAAGCTCACCCTGGGCCTCATCTGGACCATCATCCTCCACTTCCAGGTAGGGCCTGCAATTTTCCTCGCCGGAATCCGCGTTTTTGGTGTTTTTGGTGTTTTCGGTGTTTTTCGTGGTGGTGTCGGGTCTGGAGGTTCGTGGTGGTGTCATGGTGGTGATGTTGGGAGCACAGCAGTGCCCTTCCCTGCTCATTTGCATAATTAAATCGTTAATGGTCGGTTCTGTGCTGTGGATGTTTGCTCAGCTGGACTCTTGAGGAGAGGAGCAGATTTGGAAGGTGTTACCCCGAGGTGCTCCTGGACCTTTGTGGGGTTGGGGTTTTTTTYTGGKATGGAGGTGTGAGTGGGGTGACAGCAGCTCAGCTCTGGGATGGGAAAGTGCCCTGAGCTGGGATGGTCTCCAGGGATTGTGTGCTGGAGATGCTCTTGGAAAAGCGAGTTTTGGATCTTGAATGGCTTCAGTTGATCCAGTTGTAGTGTGGCGGTTTTAGGGGATGATGTGTGGCCAGCAGTGGGGTGGTCTGTGGGGTTTGCTGGGCAGTGCTGCTGTCAGCTCTCGTTAGTGGGGTGTCAGCTCTGTGGGGCCGAGCCTGTGGGATCGGCTGCATCCCAATTCCCTTCTGCATCCCAATTCCTGCTGCAACCCAGTGCTGCTGAATCCCAGTTCTGCTGCATCCCAATTCCCTTCTGCATCCCAATTCCTGCTGCATCCCAATTCCTGCTGCATCCCAGTTCTGCTGAATCCCTGCTCTATCCCAATTCCTGTTCTATGCCAATTTTGCTCCACCCCAGCTCCTGCTCCATCCCAATTCCTGCTGCATCCCAGTTCTGCTGCATCCCTGCTCTATCCCCGTTCCTGTTCTATCCCAGTTCCTGTTCTATCCCAATTCCTGCTGCATCCCACTTCCCTTCTGCATCCCAGTTCCTTCTCTATCCCAGCTCCTCCTCTATCCCAGTTCCCACCCTATCCCAGTTCCCTGCCCTATCCCAGTTCCCTGCTGGCATCTTCCAGACAGGACTAGCGCCGCCTTTGACATTCTGCAGAAAGATTGTCTTGGAGGATTGTATTTTTTGTAGGATGGACAGTGTGCCCTGGGAGAGGCTTTTAGGGGCAGCAGGGATCCAGCTGGGTGTGTAGGGCCGCTGACGAGGCGCTCTTGCCAGGCTTCAGCCCCGGGAAGCAGCCGGGGTCGAGCAAGCTGTGGATGCTGATGAGTCACTGTCACSGCCGGTGGGGCCCTGCCTGTGGCATTTTGTCCCTGCTGTCCTCGGTGTCACCGGCCCTGGTGCATGCTCTGTGGCAGGAGAGGGACATGAGGAGCTCCTGGGTCCCTCTGTGCCTGGCTGGGTGGGGACACTGCCAGGACAGGGCCGGGTGGGTGACACCGCCTGTGCCTCCTCCTCCCGCTGCGCTAACGGGATTTTTTCTGGGTTTGTAGCTCCATTGTGAACCTCTTAATCTCCCGTGTCCCAGCGCCGCTGCCTGGGGGCAGGCGGCTTCGAAAGCCCCGGGAGAGGTTTGGGGAGAGGTTTGGGGCGGGATGGTGCCCGTGTGGGGCTCAGGCAGTGCCAGCCCTGCCAGGAGCTGCAGTGMTGATGATCAGGGGGTGCCCCCGGGTCCTGGGGGCTTTGGTGGTCACTGTTTCCCTGTTTCCCTGAGTCATCTGATGGATTACTCCTGTTCAGTGTTTCCTCCTTGTTTCCTCCTTKTTTCTCTGCCTCCTGGGGCTGAGCTCAGCCCCACCATCCTCACACCTCCTGCTCCCCAATTTTTATGTCTCACCCCCACTTTTGGTCCSTGTTRCCCTGCCCTGCTCCCTCCGAGCTGRCAGGCAGAGYCGGGGTGYTCCMAGCTCCTCAAACCCCTGYCCTGGGCAGCRTTTGGGGCAGGAGCCACGGGAGAGGGGGACAGCACTGGGACCGGTCTGGGATGGGCGGCACCGCCCTCCCGTTCCTACCGGGACCCTCCGCCTGCAGCTCCCCAAAACCGTGCCGGGTCCCCAAACCACCTTGAGCTGCCCCGCCTTGCCCCGAGCTGTGTGAGCCTGACAGAAGCGTGGGCAGCTGGGCTGGGCTTTTGGGGCTCCCAAAATTCAGAATTCAGGAGCAAAACCTCCCGAACCGGAGAGGAGCAGCCCTGCGGAGCCGGCTGCCGTGCGTGCCGAGTCACTCTGACTCCTCCCCGATTTTTTTTTTTTTCTTCCCTTTTCCCCCATTTCTCTCCCACCCCTTCCTTTATTCTACCTTTGCCAACCTTCCTTAGGTTTTGTGTTTTATCCCCCCCTCTTCCCCACCCTCTCCCACTCCCCTCCTCGCTCCGCCGCCCGATCCCTGCCCCCTGTTTGTGTTGGCAAGGGCCGTGCTCCAATTACCTCATATTTGGAGAGAAGGACGCCGCAGCCAATCCCCGCTCCCCCTGCTTTTAGGTCAAGTGATTTCTGAACTGCAGTGAGATGCTTTGAATTTGTCTTCTCGCAGCGCCCAGGCTGTAAGATGGCTGTCTGGAGCGGCGGCGGTGGCGGCAGGGCTGGAGGGAGGGGACRGCGCCGAGGGGCGGCCGGCGGAGCTCCGAGCTCCGGCCGCTGGAGCCGATGAAGCCCGGCTCGGGTTTTCTCCGGGAGCCGGCCACTCTCTCAGCTGCGTCTCTGCCGGCGCCGAGCGGGAGGAGATGGGGAATTCGCTGGGCTGCGTTAAAGAGCAGAAGGAAAAAACCGCGGGGAAGGCGCCGCTGTCTCCCAAAAAAAGGGTCCGCTTCAGGCGGAGGCGCAGAGGGAAGAGGAGAGCCATGCCCGAGGCGGCCCCGCAGGACGAGCCCGCGGCGCTGGAGGTGGCCGAGGATGAGGAGGCGCCGAGGATGAAGGCRGCCCCGCGGCAGGAGCGGGCAGAGGAGCYCCGGGGAGAGCCCGAGCCGGCGGCRCCGCAGCAGCCYGGCATCATCGTGCAGGTGAAGGAGCGCTTCCAGGGCGAGCTGCAGAAAGCGCGCCTGGTGCCGGAGCCGCAGCGGCCGGGCGTGGCGGGAGCTCCCGCCGAGGAAGGCACAACCGTCATCGCCCGCCTGCTGGACAACCCGGCCGACAGGGACTGCGAGAAGGCGGTCAGCCGCCTGGTCGAGCTGCASCGGAGCGGCAGCTGCCGGGCTGTGCTGCTGCCACTGCGTCCGGCCACCGATGGACCCCCGGGAGGACTCCCGGCCCCGGCTGGTGCTGTGTCCGGCCGGCAGGCAGAGCTCGGCCGGGAGCCGGGTCTGGATTCCTGGGGGAGAGGAGGCGGCGACGATCCCGGCTCCGCATGGACCTGCTCGTCCGCAGCGGAGCCGGGCACCGTGTCCGAGCTGTCCACGCCGTCCCCCATGGTGGATCAGCTGGAAACCCCCGGTGCGGGGAGAAGCTCGGGGCTGTCGTCGACTCGGGTCGGGGATGGAGATGGCCCTGGAGCGGTCGTTTCCCGCAGCCCGTCCTCCTTCAGCGGGCGCAGCGGCAGCGCGGCCCGGAGCTCCTCGGGGTACGGCAGCGACCGGCCGGCCAAGGGCGCAGGAGGTGGCGGCGCCACCGTGTCACCCTCTGATGGTGGCCTCAGGCTCGCTCTGGAGGGCCGGGCTTGGAGGGGGAGCTCGGGGACAGCCGGAGCAATGGTCAGTGCGTGCGTGTGGCCTTCGCCCCCTTTCTGGAGTGGGGTGGGGGGACCCCAGATCCTGGTGGCCCCTGGGGATGGTCATCTTGGCAAGGGGCAGCATTGTGCTAAGCAGGGGCTGAAAGTTCCTAAAGCCTTTTCCCCCTGGGAAAATATCCCTTGGGGACCTGTCCTGTCCTCACTCCCGGCACGGTGACAGTCCCTGGAGGCCGTGGGTGYGGCTGGCGCCTGCTGTCACCAGTGTCACACTCAGAGCTGCTGGCTCGGGTGTCGCTTTGGGTGAAGCTGTCCCCTTCCTGCTGCCTGTGCGGGGTGAACGTGGAGATGYGGGGGCTCTGCCTGCTCCCAGGGGATTCCAGGAGGAGCAGGAGGGGATGAGGCTGTGCTTTGGGACCCGTTGCTGTCTGGTGGTCACTCTTTAGGGGGTGCCGGCGTGGGCAGAGGTGCCCTTGGGTTTGGGCAGGACAGGTGTGWGGTGTGAGGGTGCCCCCCACACCTTTGCCAGTCTGGGACCAGTGTCACAGCCACCATGTGGCCTCCAGCACCCTGCCACCAGTTGCTTGATGTGTGAGGCTGATGCTGGAAGGGTTTGGAAGGATTTGGCTCCGGGTGCTGTGAGTTTCCTCTCTCTTTCCTCGCTGGTGCCTCCCTAAATCTTTGTCCTGTCACAAACACGAGAAGAAAGGAGGGTGGAGCTGGTGCCGCACCCTGCACCTCCCTGAGCGCATCCCTGGCAGAGTTTCCTGCAGGGATGCTCTCGGGGAAGAGGCCCAGTGGTTGGAGASCCCCAGAGCTGTGTCAGGGATTAAAAATAAAGGATTTATCAGAGCTGGGCGCTGTGAGGTGCTCCYGCATGGGCAGCAGTGGGCACAGCATGGGGCACACCCCCTGGCTGGGTTCAAAGAAGGGCTCATTCTGCTTTTAATTAAGACCCATCAGGTAATTCATAAGGGTCCACTGAGCAGAGGGAGGTTTGTGGGTCCTGCAGATGTGGAAGGTTCCAGCATCCTGCTGCTCACCTGGTGCATCCATCCCGGCTCTGCTCTCCCGACATCCCCAGGAGAGCCATCCCCGGGGAAAGCCATCCCGAGGGARASCYGGCCCCAGGGAGAGCCRGCCCCGGGGCTGGAGGAGTTAAAAAGCAGCTCCAGCAGCAGCTGACAAAGAGCAGTTTCATGGATCAGGCTGGCGAGGGAGGTGAGCCACAGCATACCAATGACACCGGCAGCATGGAGGCAGGATAATCCYGTCCCTGTCCCTGACAGCGGGGACCTGGGCACTGCCAGCGCCTGTCTGGGTGTGTTTTGGGGAGGAATAAAGCACAGCTGGGTGTTTTCAGGGCTGGCTCCTGGCGCTCCTTCTCCCGGGAAGCGAGCTGCCCGTGTCTCCTTTCCGTGGGCACCCCAGGAAATCCGCACGGCTCCGTCCTCCCCTTTGTCCTCCCCCCTTAACGAAGGGGAGGTAATTGTACTAATTGRGGAGCTGGAGAAGGGGAGGGCGAGGAGGAGGCTGTGCCAGTCAGGGGTGTGCTGGCATGCGGGGACACGTGCGTGGCGTCACGTGCCAGTCTGGGATTCGCGGCCGGCGCTGTCTGAGGGGTCCGTGACTGGCGCTGGCTTTTGTCGGGAATTGGGTCACGGCACCCCTGCCTGCCACCAGCGGGGCAGAGAGGGGGGAATGTCACCTCCTTGTCCCTATCCTGACATGGAGCTGCTCCATGGTGGGACTCAGGGACAGCCCTCCTCTCCAGGCGCTGTTTCACACTCCTTGAGTTGATGTTTTTTTACAGTAGGATGCTCCAGCTGGAGCGTTCCCTGCCATTYCTGCAGCCCCAATSCCACARRGGGACATTGGTGTTGGTCMCTGCTCCAGCTGGAGCCTTGCCTGTCACCCCTGCAGCCCAATCCCATAAAGGGACATTGGTGGTGGTCCCTGCTCCAGCTGGAACATTCCCTGCCATTCCTGCAGCCCCGATCCCATAAAGGGGACATTGGTGGTGGTCCTTGCTCCAGCTGGAGCATTCCCTGCCATTCCTGCAGCCCCATCCCATGAAGGGACATTGGTCGTGGTCCCTGTTCCCGCTGGAGCATTCCCTGCAGCCCCATCCCACAAAGGGACATTGGTGATGGTCCCTTCTTTGTGCCCACCCTTCTGCTGACCATTCTGGGTGTCCGAGGGTGCTGGGGCTCCCTGTGGCATGCAGCCAGGAGGATTGAGGGTGCAGGAGGGTGCTCAGCGTGTTTGGGGCAGGAAGAGGCAGGAAGGGACCTGYCTGGAGCCTGCAGCCTCCAGGACGTCGTGTTCCTGCTGAGGTGTGTCCCTGGCTGGCGGGGACAGGGATGGCACGGAGGGAGCGGCCCCCATGGCCTTGGGACACCGGATTTTGGCAGAGCCAGCAGGGCTGGGCTGGGCTGTGGGGCCAGCAGGAGCTGGAAATGTTTTCCTCAACCTGCCCCAACCACCCYGCTGCTCCCTTGCACATCCCATTCCCAAATTTCTCAGCTGCAGGGTCCCCTCTCCACTATGGTGACCACAAGTTGCCTCCTGCCCTTCCCAGTAGCCAATTCCAGGGCGAGTGGARGAGCCTGGTGGGGCTTTCCCTGTTCATTCCATGGCTCCCCCTCCTGCCACGGCTGTGCTGCTCCCTTGCAGATCTCTGATATCTACATCAGCGGGGAGCTTGGGGACATGTCTGCCAAGGAGAAGCTGCTGCTGTGGACGCAGAAGGTGACAGCGGGCTACATCGGGGTCAAGTGCACCAACTTCTCGTCCTGCTGGAGCGATGGGAAGATGTTCAACGCCCTCATCCACAGATACAGGTGGGTGGGAAGGGGTATTGGGAGTGTTGTGAGGGTGAGGATCTCCCTGGGGTCCCTGCCCATCGCTGTTTGTGGGTGTGGGTGAGGCTGGCAGGGAGCAATGTCTGTTTTACGTGGAATTCTCTCTTTGCCAGGTCACTGGGATGGGGGGATGCTCGGAATGAGCACCAAATACATCAGGTTGTGGGAAATAACATTTTAATGAGGTTGGGGAGAGAGACAGAAAGGCTTTTAAACCCTTGAGTGCTGCAGTGGCTGCGTGTCAACACTGCCCTTTCACTCGCCATCAGCAGCAGCATTTCCATCCGAGCTTTTTTTTCACAGCAGAACTTCCATCTGAGTTTTATCCCACTTCCATCAGAGTTTTTATCCCATAGCAGAACTTCCATCCGAGTTTTATCCCAATGCCATCAGAGTTTTTATCCCATAGCAGAACTTCATCCGAGTTTTTATCCTGCTTCCATCCGAGCTTTTATCCCACAGCAGAACTTCTATCCGAGTTTTATCCCGCTTCCATCCGAGTTTTTGTTCGACTTCCATCCCAGTTTTTATCCCATAGAACTTCCATCCCAGTTTTTACCCCACTTACATCTGAGCTGTTATCCCACTTCCATCCGAGTTTTTATCCCACTTCCATCTCAGTTTTTATCCCCTTCCATCTCAGTTTTTATCCCCTTCCATCCTGCTTTTATCCCACAGCAGCACTTCCATCCCAGCTTTCATCCCAGGATCCCAGAGATCTCCCGAGCAGCATTCAAACCTCTCACAATTCTTCCTTCCCCATGTGGGACCCAGAGGTTTTCCTTTGCATCCCAAACCCTTCTCCCTGACCAGGCTGAGTTGGGGAAGTTCTGCAGCCCAGATCCCTTTGGGGAGCCACCAGCAGTGGTCACAGTGGTCACACTGACCCTCTGAGCATGGCCAGGACGCTCTGCCCTGGTGCTGTTGGTCACTCAGATGTATCCTGCAGGCCAGATCTGGTGGACATGGAGAGGGTGCAGATCCAGAGTAACCGGGAGAACCTGGAGCAAGCCTTCGAGATCGCCGAGCGCCTGGGGGTGACGCGGCTGCTGGACGCTGAAGGTGGGTGCCCGGGCTCTGGGAGTGGCACAGGGACATCCCCTCTTGTCCCTCCCTGTCCTCACAGCCTTTCTGCTTCCCTCTGGCCAGATGTGGATGTCCCCTCTCCGGATGAGAAATCCGTCATAACTTACGTGTCTTCAATCTACGATGCCTTTCCCAAAGTCCCCGAGGGAGGAGAAGGGATCAGCGCCATCGTAAGCGGGATGGGGATCTGGGGTGGCACTTCGTGGGGTGGCTGTGGGGTGGGGGGAAGGTTTGGGACCGGCTCTGTCCCCTGTGGAAGAGGGATGGTGAGGGAAGAGGCTCAGGGGGAGGAAGGAGTGTCCCCATTATGGTCACTGTCACCTGCTGCGGTGTCTGGAGGGTCACAGTGATGCCCAGGCGCTGCTTTTCCCATGGGAAAGATGAGCTCCCTGACCCTCCTGCTGCTCCTGCTCCTTCTGCTCCCACCCCAGAGTTTGGCCGTGTCACCTCTGTGGTCCCCTCCATGGTCCTCTCCGTGTCCCCTCCATGTTCTCCCATGTCCCCTCTGTGTCCTCTCCATGTTCTCCCATGTCCCCTCTGTGTCTCCTCCCGTGTCCCCTCCATGGTCTCCCGTGTCCCCTCTGTGCTCTCCCATGTTCCCCCCGTGTCCCTGCAGTGTCCCCTCGGTGCTGTCCCATGTCCCTGCAGTGTCCCCTCTGTGTCGCTCCATGCTCTCCTGTGTCCCCTCGGAGCTGTCCCGTGTCCCCTCCGTGTTTTCCTGTGTCCCCCCCATGTACTCTCCGTGCTCTGCCATGTCCCCTCCATGTCCCCCCGTGTCCCCTCGGAGCTTTCCCATGTCTCCCATGTCCCCTGTGTCCCCTCGGTGTCCCCTCCATGCTCTCCCGTGTCCTCTCCATGCTCTCCCGTGTCCCCTCCATGGTCCCCTCTGTGCTCTCCCATGTTTCCCCCGTGTCCTTGCAGTGTCCCCTCCATGCTCTCCCATGTCCCCTCTATGTCCCCCTGTGTCCCCTCCATGTCCCCTCCATGCTCTCCTGTGTCCCCTTCATGTCCCCTCCGTGTTTTCCTGTGTCCCCCCCATGTCCTCTCTGTGCTCTTCCATGTCCCCCTGTGTCCCCTCGGAGCTCTCCCAAGTCTCCCATGTCCCCTGTGTCCCCTTGGTGTCCCCTCGGAGCTGTCCTGTGTCCCCTTCATGCTCTCCCGTGTCCCCACAGAGCTGTCCCATGTCCCCTCCATGTCCCCTCCATGTCCCCCCATGTCCCCACGGAGCTGTCCCATGTCCCCTCGTGTCCCCACGGAGCTGTCCCATGTCCCCCCCATGTCCCCTCGGTGCCGTGCCCTCCCCCAGGGCCATTCTGAGCCTCTCTGTCCCCGCAGGAGGTGGATTCCCGGTGGTTGGAGTACCAGACCCGCGTGGAGACGCTCGTCTCGTGGATCAAGCAGCACACGATACTCATGTCTGACAAATCCTTCCCCCAGAACCCCGTCGAGCTAAAGGTGTGTCCAACACCACGCTGTCACCTGCTGTCACACGTGGTGGCATTGTCCTAGGCGGTTCCTGACGAGTTTTTCCCCCTCCTGACGAGTTTTTTCCCCCTCCCAGGCACTTTATAACCAGTACATACACTTCAAAGAGACCGAAATCCCGGCCAAAGAGCAGGAAAAAGGGCGGATAGAGGAGCTCTACAAACTGCTGGAGGTGAGGATCAGCGTGGCTGCCCCGGGGGATGGCTGGTGGCAGTGTTGTGGTGTTGCAGAGTGCTCAGTTTGGGTTTATTTTGGGGTGGAGAGGCGGGAATAACCCTAAAATCAGGTTTGTTTTGGTGGAGAGGTGGGACTAACCCTAAAATCAGGTTTGTTTTGGTGGAGAGGTGGGACTAACCCTAAAATCAGGTTTGTTTTGGGATGGAAAGGTGGAACTAACCCTAAAATCAGTTTTTTTTTGGTGAAGAGGTGGGACTAATCCTAAAAGCAGGTTTGTTTTAGGATGGAGAGGTGGGAATAACTGTAAGATCAAGTTTATTTTGGGGTGGAGAGGCAGGAATGACCCTAAAATCGGGTTTGTTTTGGGGTGGAGAGGTGGGACTAACCCTAAAATCAGGTTGATTTTGGGGTGGAGAAGCAGAAATAACGCCCAGCTCAGGTTTATTTTGGGGTGGAAAAGCAAGAATAACCCTCAGCTCAAGTTGATTTTGGGGTGGAGAAGCAGGAATAACCTCCAGCTCAAGTTTGTTCAGGTTAATTTTGGGGTGGAGAGGAGGCAATAACCACGAGCTCAGGTTAATTTTGGGGTGGAAAGGTGGGAATAACCCTCAGCTCATATTTATTTTGAGTGGAGATTTATTTATTTGGGGTGGAGAGGTGGGAATAACCCCCTGCTCAGGTTAAATTTGGGGTGGAGAGGTGGTGATAACCCTCAGGATGAACAAGGCAGCAACCAGCACACGACAGAGCCGCTCTCCCCTCGCTGTGACCCCAAACCAGCTCGGGGGCAGAGGTGCCAAATGCCAACCTGCTGCTTTTCCCAGGTGTGGATCGAGTTTGGACGCATCAAGTTGCCCCAGGGCTACCACCCCAACGACGTGGAGGAGGAGTGGGGCAAGCTCATCATCGAGATGCTGGAGCGCGAGAAGCTCCTGCGGCCGGCCGTGGAGAGGTCAGTGCCACACCCAGGGAGGGGACATCTCCTGCTGTCACCCCAGCCAGAGGGACATCCAAAAAAAAACCCCTTCTCATCCTCCTGTGTCATTCCAGGCTGGAATTGCTGCTACAAATCGCTAACAAAATCCAGAATGGTGCTCTGAGCTGCGAGGAGAAGCTCACCCTGGCCAAGAACACGCTGCAGGCTGTGAGTGCGGGGTGTTTTTCCTCTCTTAATTTTATTTATTTAATCGTTTTTATAATTTTTTTTTTTGCACCCATCTCCTCTGCATGGGGTGGTGGGTTCTCCTGGACAGCTTTTCTTTTCTCTTCTGTCCTTGATCCTATTCCATAGGTTCTGTAGGGGATATTTGGTGATCCCTAGAGCAATTTAGGGGACAGGGGATGGGGAATGGTGTTTTCCAAGTGAGGGTGAGCATCTTGCAGAGGTGCTGATGTGGAGGAGAATATATAAAAGAATATATAAAATATATAAAAGGGCATATAAAATATATAAAAGAGTATATATAGTATATAAAGGGATAGATAAAATATAAAAGGGGTATATAAGGTATATATTAGGGTATATAAAGTATATAAAAGGGTACATAAAATATATAAACAGGTGTATAAAATATATAAAAGGCTATATAAGGTACCTAAAATATCTGAAAGGGTGTATAAAATATATAAAAGAGTATATAAAGGGRTGTATAAAGTATATAAAAGGGTGTATAAAATATATAAAAGRGTATATAAAGTATATAAAGGGGTGTATAAAATATATAAAAGGGCGTATAAAGTATATAAAAAGGCATATAAAATATATGAAAGGATGTATAAAGTATATAAAAGGATGTATAAAAATATCAAAGGGTGTATAAAGAATCTAAAAGGGTATGTAAAATGTCTAAAAGAGTGTATAATATATATTAAAGGGTATATAGAGTATATTAAGGGTATATGAAATATAAGGGTATATAAAATATATAAAAGGGTATAAAAAATATCAAAGGGTGTATAAAGTATATGAAAGGGTATGTAAAATGTCTAAAAGGGTGTGTAAAATTTACAGAAGAGCGTATAAAATATATAAAAGGGTATGTAAAGTATATTAAAATGGTGTAAAAAAGGCAAGGCAAAGCTCACAGTGCCATCCCATGCCCCTCAGGACGCTGCCCACCTGGAGTCGGGCCAGCCGGTGCAGTACGAGGCCGATGTGGTGATGTACCTGCAGGAGTGCGAGGGGCTGCTGAGGCAGCTGCAGGTGGACGTGCAGATCCTGAGAGATGAGAACTACTACCAGCTGGAGGAGCTGGGCTTCAGGTGAAATGGGGGGATTCTGGGGGGCTGCATACACTGTGGGGCTGGGGGGCACACCCATGTGGGTCTGGGGCAGGAGGGGCACATCCTGATGGATCTGGGGGAGTGAGGGGTACATCCTGATGGGTCTGGGGGTCACACCCTGGTAGGTCTGGGGAAGTGAGGGGTACACCCTGCCCTGTTCGTGTCCAAGGGGCACATCCTGATGGGTCTGGGGGCAGGAGGGCCACATTCTGCCTTGTCCATGTCCGAGTGGCACACCCTGATGGGGCTGGGGGAGTGAGGGGCACACCCTGAAGGGTCTGGGGGCAGGAGGAGCACATCCTGCCCTGTGTCCGAGGAGCACATCCTGATGGGTCTGGGGGGCACATCCTGATGGGTCTGGGGGAGTGAGTGGCACACCCTGATGGGTCTGGGGGCAGGAGGGGTACACTCTGCCCTGTTTGTGTCCGAGGGGCACATCCTGATGGGTCCAGGGGAGGAAGGGGCACACCCTGATGGGTCTGGGGGCAGGAGGGGCACACCCTGCCCATGTCCGAGGGGTACACCCTGCCCTGTCTGTGTCCAGGGAAAGGAAGAGCACACCCTGATGGGTCTGGGGGAGTGAGTGGCACACCCTGATGGGTCTGGGGGCAGGAGTGGCACACCCTGCCCTGTCCATGTCCGAGGGGCACACCCTGCCCTGTCCCTCTCCAAGGGACACACCCTGCCCTGTCCCTGCCCAGGGGAAGGAAGCAGCTCCTCTGTCCGCATCTCCTGACCCATCCTCTTCTCATTTTTCCCCAGGATCATGAGGCTGCAGGACGAGCTGGTGACGCTGAGGCTGGAGTGCACCAACCTGTACAGGAAAGGTCACTTCTCCACGCTGGAGCTGGCACCCATGCCCGCCCTGAGCACCACCCAGCTCAAGGGTGACTCGCTGACCAAGGGGCTCCACACCTCCTCGGCCTCCTGGTTCCGTAAGCCCATGACCAGGAYGGAGCTGGTGGCCATCTCCTCCTCTGAGGATGAGGGCAGCCTGCGCTTCGTCTACGAGCTGCTGGCCTGGGTGGAGGAGATGCAGGTGGGTGCTGTTTCCAGGTTCTAAAAGTGCAGATAAAATGTATAAAAGGGTGCATAAATAAAAGGAAAAGCAAAAATCGTCATGCATCACCCTTGAGAGAAGGAGTTATATTCCTTCACAGTAATTGTTTGTTTCAACATGTTCCCAGACTAAGGAAAATAAAGATAAGCAATGTGGCCGCTGAAGGCTGTGTGCCACACAGGACCTCAGAAGTTTATTACTCAAGAACTGTTACTTACAATTATTGGAGAATTAGTAGAGCGTGCAGTATATGTATATACTGCTGCCCGATGTGGGAAGCTGCCCTGGGCTTTTTCCTGTTTTTATCTGTGAAAAAAAACTGCTTTGATGGTTTGTGGTTTTTGGAGATCTGAGGCTGGGTTTGCTCTCCTGTGGTCCTGCTGGTCAGTGGGGATCCTGCTTTAGGGTCCTCTGCCATCACTGGGAGCTGTTGGATCCCTCTGGGATGAGCTGGGAGCATTCCTGGTGTCCTTTAGGGAGCAGATGAGGAGCTCTGAGCGGAGCTCTGTGGGTTCTTTCCAGATGAGATTGGAGCGGGCAGAGTGGGGCACYGACCTGCCCAGCGTGGAGGCGCAGCTGGAGAGCCAGAGGCACATCCATGCCAGCGTGGAGGAGCTGGGCTCCAGCGTCAAGGAGGCCAGGGTGTACGAGGTAATGGGGCCAGGGGCTGGGGGACACTGGGGACAGCCCCACTGAGGGCATTGGGGTCACCTCTCATGGGTCACGTTCCTGGGGACAGAGGGGATTTTTTGGGATGGAGGTGATTTTTTGGGATGGAGGTGATTTGTATGGACGGGGGTGATTTGTGGGGATGGGGGTGATTTTTAGGGACGGAGGTGATTTGTAGGGTTGGAGGTGATTTGTGGGGTTGGGGGTGATTTGTAGGGTTGGAGGTGATTTGTAGGGGTGGAGATGGTTTTTAGGGGTGGAGATGATTTTTAGGGATGGAGGAGATTTGTAGGGCTGGAGGTGACTTGTAGGGTTGGGGGTGATTTGTAGGGGGGGAGGTGATTTCTAGGGATGAGGGTGATTTTTAGGGACGGAGGTGATTTGTAGGGATGGAGGTGATTTGTAAGGACAGAGGTGATTTGTAAGGGTGGAGGTGATATTTTGGGGACGGTGGTGATTTTTAGGGATGGAGGTGATTTGTAGGGACGGAGGTGATTTGTAGGGATGGAGGTGATTTGTAGGGACAGAGGTGATTTTTTAAGGGTGGAGGTGATTTTTAAGGGTGGAGGTGATTTGTAAGGGCAGAGGTGATTTGTAGGGTTGGGGGTGATTTGTAGGGATGGAGGTGATTTTTAAGGACAGAGCTCCAGAGTTGATACATCCTCTGAGCCATCCTCTCCACCTCCAATCCCTCAGATTTGGGGAAAACATTTGATATTTTGAGTGATGCTTCCCGACGCTGACAACTGAAAGATTTCTCCCCTTTCAGAGCAAAATGTCCCCAAATTTCCGTGCGAGCTACACAGAAACCCTGGGCAAGCTGGAAACTCAATACTGCAAACTAATGGTGAGCAGGGTCCTCCAACCCTCTGTAGAGTCCATCCCTACCCTAAAACCGGGAAAAAGGAGAAAAACCCCAACACCTACAGAACAGGAAAGGGGAATAAAACCCAAATCCTTATTTCCTTTCTTTTTTTTCCTTAGGAAACCTCGAGCTTTCGGCTGAGGCACCTGCAGAGCCTGCACGGTTTCGTGTCRCGCGCCACGGCCGAGCTCATCTGGCTCAACGAGAAGGAGGAGGAGGAGTTGGCTTTCGACTGGAGCGACAGCAATCCCAATATCTCCGCCAAAAAGAGCTACTTCTCGGTCAGTGCTGGGTTTGAGCCCCCAAAAATCTGAATTTTTGTGCTTTGGGGGATCTCTGGGGTTGTTGCTGGTGAGYGGAGCTCTCTCCAGAAGGGAATGGAAATGGGTGTTCGGGGGAATTGTGAGCAAAAAGGTGTCAAAAGGTGGATTTTTAGTGGTGTTTTGGAGCTCAGGGTGGTTTGAACAGGCAGGGATGAGGCTGAGCCGAAGAGGAAATTCAAATTCCTCTGATTCCTCTTCAAAGCAGTGTCAGTAAATTCCCATCTTTTCCCAATTCTGCTGAGCTGAGGAGATCCCTGGGCGGGTTCCCAGTGCCTCTGCTCCGTCAGTTTGGAGCACAGGAGGCAAATTCCTGCTGGGAACGGGGCTGTGGGGTCGTGTGGGTTCTCTGGGACCTGCTGTGGGG